CGTGAACGACAAAGGAAAAAAAACAGAAAAAAACGACCGTTTCTCAGCCGATGCATTCGAAATAGATTTGTTATTCAAGATGTAAGGCTTCGAGATAAATGATTCGCGTGCATGATACTTGCAAAAATACAAATTCTAAAGAAATACATAGCGAGCTATAAGTCACCTAAAATATTACAAACGGTACACAAGAAATACTACAGGGCATGATTAACACCTGAAGTTAAACATACAAATTAATGTACATTTCTGGTTAGCTTCCAACAAAGCTATGATAGTTATGTTAGACGTGTGTGACTTGAAAAAATCATTTATTCCGCTTATGAAATTAATAACCAGTCATTTCAGCGTGGCCATTTAGGCATGTCGTTTTAACATAGTATATGTATAGATAAATTGTCAAAAGTGAACAAATTGTTTTTGCGCTTATTTATCTACTATTTTTTTAAACCTTTACTAAAAAAAAAAATAACAACGGACAATCTCTGAATCATATCGTTAAAAACTTAATTCATCTAGTTTACCAACAAATGTGTGAAAATGACAGCGCCTAAAAAGTCCCATTCCTTTCTGACACAGGCGCTTCTTTACGCCGTATTTAGGCAAACAAAGGACTATACCATTCCCTTTAATTCCATTGTTTTAATTCTGGGTTAAATATCGATCTAATTCTAACGAAATTCGGAGAGAACACAAGCCTTTAATTCTCTAAACCTCGAGCATCGCCCCTGACAACTCGCAGACTATTAAGTATTAACAATAGTAATTAATGTCGTTTCTAAGTTTGATAAGTTAAGACTATTAACTACTAAAGTGCCAAGAGGATTTCAGTGTTTTGAGGACAGCAAATCTTATATTTATCTTATAATAGAACTACTTTTTAATAATATTATATGGTATAAAAAACATATACAATAGCAGTTGTTTATTTATTATTTAAAGCTCAGAAGAAATTATTAAAGTTTTTACGATATTTATCATTGTGTACTTTTATTGTTTATTCTGTTTAGCAGTCTCGTTAAAAGTTGAACCGATCGTTCTGACATCATAGATCACAAAATGTAAAGGTACATAAAAATAAAAAATCTCCTCCTAATCAAATAAAAACAAATCAATAAGAATCATGCCTATTATAAGATCACAAACTTAAATTCACCGTATGTATAGTGTAAATATAAAAAAAATTACAAACATACCTATGCATGCATATGATAATCGGTGAACAATTTTATATTTTAACACTAACCACCTAGTCAAAAAGTATTATTGACTATGTACCTAATGCAATACGTGTTCACTTTAAATTTCCAAATTGATATTATTTCTCGCTTTAAACCTATCACCAGCCTGACCCTGCTGAGCTGACATTCTTAGATGGTTTTGAGCATCGATTAATACTGACTAATATTTACAACACGGCCAAGGTAGTAAACATGTTTGACCTGCGATGAGCGTAGACTGCTTCTATCGATACAGAGACTAGCGACATCCGGCTAGGCTGCTTCCGGAGAATGTTTTTTCTAAGGAAACGGAAATTAAAACCTAATCGAACCCAACGAGGCGATTTGTTGTTTTATACACAAACCTTGAAATGCAACGTATAGTATAAAATCAAAATCAATTCTGCTATATTACAATGTTATATTTACGATCATGGTAGCCGGCCCTTATATGGATATTGCTGTTTTATTTATACCGTTTCGTGAACCTATAGTTGATTAAACTTAATTGAAATTCAGGATGATTGGTTTACTATGTCCCAGTATTAGAACATATTAGACTTTTTTAAATTATTCTTTTTTATACTTTTATAGTATAATATCTTTTAAGATGCTGCTGGGTCGAAGTTAACCAAACACCCTCCAAGGTATAACATATTAAAACAGGAAAATTATATAAGAAATAAAACGGTATCATGCTTCCATATACTTAATATACTACATATAAGTTCTTACAAACCGAAGTACTTATAAATTTAGCTTATTTCATCCGTATACATGCTTTTTGTCAATTAAAATGATAATAGTATGTATGTTTTGTACGTATCTTGCATCCATAAAACAAAATAACTAACGCAAAACCCTAAAATCCTTCTATAAGCTCCAATTAAAAAGAAATCCACCTGGATATTGAAACTCGACGTGAATTATTCATGCACTAATGTTGGGATTCTATAAGTTTGGTATTTTTAGATTAAACAAACGGTTTATTCATAACATAATTAATATTTAAATACCAATTCGTTGTAATAAATATATTTGTTACATTTGCGTTTCATTGTAGAATTGGTGTAGAGGTATAAATAGTAAGCAAACCGACGAACTTACAGTACACCAAGAAAATGTAATTTACCTATTCATTTAAAAAATGGAGTTTTGTATTGCAGATAACATTTTAACGTTATTTTAATGTATTGATCCAATCTTCGGTAGGTAACAACAAAACTAAAATTATTTTCATTTGTTAAATTATAAATAAAAAAGATGTTATGTATATATTTATCATTTATTAGTTAGGTTAGGTGGTTTTTATATTTATTTAAGTCAAACAAACTTGATATATAAAATTTAAAAAAAAAATCTAAAGTAATAATTCTATAGTGTCCATGATGACATATAAAACATTTACAATACAATTTATTTAATCACTCAATCAAACACAGCAGTTTTAGTAAAATATTCTTCTGCCCTTGGAACTTTTTTTTTTATATTCAATTTATATAAAATATTCATAATTTTACTACGGTGTTCAAAAATTATACTCTTACATTAATATTTGATTAAGCCATTACAGCAAATATTAAGCCTAACAAGTATTTCGATATTTATTTTACTATTTTGTTGAATTCTCATTAAACATTATTAAATATTAATCCCTATGTTTTTTTTATTTTAAATTTAGTGTTTTTAAAAGAAACAAATTCTTAACAAGTTCATTAAGTGAAAAATCGTTATTAACGGCCAAGTACGATATTGTAGTGTCGTTGTTACTGTTGTTATACACAAACACATTATACATTAATAAAACGCTTGTCAAACTTAAAAATACACACGGGAACGTAGTGAGATCTAAGAAGGAAGTGTGCAAGCAGCTCTGCTGAGTCGATTGTGGTCGAAAAATGAATATAAAAACAGTCCCAATAACAACAACGGTTGGTTTACGAGCATGTAAAATCGGCGCCGTCTAGTCCGAACAAATTATTTATTTCTGTAATATATTATATTATAACTTTTACTTATACAAATGGGTAAAGCAAAAAAGTTTTATCGTGACAGCTATTTTTTTTTTTTTTTTTACAGAAGTATAAAAAAAAAACAAAGTGACGTACCGTGCCTCTCAGATTAATAGCAGTTGAATTTTACTTTTTTTTATAAATACACAAGATGTCTTTCAGCAGCTATCAACAAATCATCTCAGAAAAACGTTTACCCGAAACCGCTGAAGTGTTTTTCGTCTAACCTTTAAAAGCTTTGGACTTACAAAAATGTCTAAAGTGCAGGGTTATTTTCTATGATTTATGGTGCTATTATATGTTGATTGTAAAAACTTAGGATACGATTTTAAGCTATAACTCGAGACCGATAAGGTATTGGTGTTAAAAATAATGTGATTTTTTGTTTATTATAGAGTAAGTCTACGATAACACTTAATGTTCAAATGACCTTTACTCTATAAAAGCTTTTTATAACCAGGATATTTTATCGGCAAGCAGTTCTAAATACCGCTATTTTCTTCCTTATCGAGACAATTTCAAAACAACCAAAAAAATGTCCAGATACACTTCATTTATGCACTTTAATCAACACAACAAAAACAATATGGACTTAAAGGTAGCATTATGCTGGAATGTTGTTTGTTTTTTTGTTTTATGTTAACAGTATCACAAAGTTGATATTATTATCGTTTATTACACAGTATTTGCGAATAAAAAGTAAAACATGTAAATTTAATTTTAACGTTCTAATGTTTTTTTAATAATACTCGTACATACAAGTCGTGTAAGAGTGTCGACCGTACTTGAAAATAATATCAACAATATACCGAGCTAAGAGCAGGGCGTTCTAATGAGAATATAACTACAATATAAGTTCTACATAACAAATATTGTGGGTAGCTTAAAAAATCGTCGTAACGCAGACGAGGAAAAGTGTTTTTGGATGAGAAATCGCATTAAGCTTCGGCCATAGATCTTCCTTTTCACTCTCTCTGTCTCTCTCACACAATGAGAGAGTAGAGATAGCCTCTCTAAGCTGTTATCCATTTTCCAAGTCCAGCAAATGAATAGTATATCGCTGCCGGATTGTTTTTCACAACTTAAAGCCGCGTTAATATTACATTATTTTTGATACATGGCCAAAGCTTTTGATGTAATATTGTTTTTCACGGTTCGCGTTCTAAATCGGCCGCTATTTTTTTTCACCCGCCTCCTCTACCCGTAGACTGAACTTTGCGCCCACTCTGCCGGTCTCCATCCGTTTCCTTATTTATTTTGTATTATACTCCCCGTAGAAAGCACTGCAATTATTATTACTGTACAACACACAAACGCATACATATAATACATTGTATTGTGTACACAAGAGATAGACGTTTCGCGAAATTTACTACCGACCCACTCTTGTCGCCGCGTTTCCCCCCAATAATGGTAGACTACCCGAGAACTGTGAGGCTCGAGAACAAAGAAATTCAAATAAAAATTATACCCGTGTACAAAGTACAAACTCGAATATGTTATGATAAAGTGACTACGTGCACAGTGTAGATAAATACTAAATCATGTAAAAATAAAAAAAAGCTAATGATAATAGCGTAACGTCGTTTATTTTTCTTAAGTGATAAACTTTGAGAGAACTGTTAGAAGTGCAAATAAATTAGACTCTTTTACACTATATAATATATTGTTGATGCATCACTTACCCGGCAGATAACGTTTTTCTTTTTACCAATACACTTTGCTTTTGTTAACTCAACAATGTAATTTAATACGTTCAAAAGGATACATTCGTAGAGATCCATTTTTAGTGCCGATGGCCAACAACCGTTGGATAGGGTCAAACGCTAGGGCAGTAGGCTGGTACGGAAATCCATGACGGAATGTCTGCAAAAATGTAAAAAAAAAATAATTAAAATCGTTAATCGACATTTCCTATTTAAAAGCTTAAAGTAAATAGGTTGAGTACTATAGGAATAGGTTATGAAAGTACAATACATTCGGATCCAAAGTTTAACTTCATAATTAATGTCTACAATCAAAACACGTTCAAAAAGCTGTACTACGACAAATGTACCATAAACTGTGCTAGTTTTGCTACCCTCAATAGTCATAGATACATATTATAATTATTTTTAAAACAATACAATACAATCGTAGATTTAAAAGTTCTATGATTACAGCACATCTGTCGAATACAAAATAAAATATAACTAAATAGAAAATATTTGTAAAAAGGTTGAATTTAAAATTGTATTTATCAGGAAAATAATAATTATTATATTTCCAAAGAACTTATGAAGTTACTGCATTCGTGTAATGTTTTTAATGGACCCGATGTCAATTAATATACCAAACAAGATAATTATATCAGATAGCAATCATTAAAAAATGATAAGCTACTTAATGAAAACTATGTCGCTTATAGAATAAAATGTTTGCGATTCGACAACGAAAAGTTATTGTTGAAGAAAATAGTATTATTTGAAACGATGAAAAAGACAAATACACGTCTTTATGTCATTCACACATTTATACTAATATGAGAAATTACCAACATTTTTTTTGCCGCAGCCGATTTGCGTATATGAGATAATCCAAAAGTGCATGTCGAGGCGATTTTTTATTTACAAGCCATTAATAACCTTTGAAGGAAAATGGCAATACCGCGTGGAAATCGTTAGGAAAAACTGTCAGAGAAGGCTCTTTATGAATAATCGACCAAAAAAAATAATAATAATGATAACCTGCGACCATAATATCGTGTGCATCGATTTCTATTCACTGAGGTAATTGAAGGAGGAAAAATACTACCTACAGCAATAATGAGATGGTAGAGTTCTGGAAAAATCTCAAAACGTAAAGCGCTATTGTATGTTTCCTCTCCTGTCTGGTTTCAGTTTTTAATCCGAGATAATTTGAAGAATATTACCCTTAATGCCACTTCAAGAAAGTAAACGGAAACGGTACGTCGAACGGCAGTCTAGGTACTTTACACAAGACAAAAGTCTGATTGATTTTCTCTTTTCTTACTTTACCCTATGCATAATAATCTATTTATGTTTTTTCCGTGCCACAATTTGACATATTATCGTCAAGCACCTATTACCACAAGAAATTGACACGGTACAAACTATCATTCAACGCCCATCCGATGATTAAACTTTATAGTCCTAGACCAATTATTAATAGGTATTTAAAAACCACACCACCGTAATAAAAAAATATGTAAAACTATTTTTTAACTGTCCCGTTTTGTTTGTAAAATTCTAAATTATTATTAAAAAACTACATGTTAAACACCGTACGCTGTCGGTTTATTTCAACCGTCTTAATTTGTATTAATTGCTTTTAAAAATTTACTTTTTCTGTTTTTAATTACGTTAGTAAAAACTTTTTTCATTACAGTATCACCCCTGCACGCCGTACAGTTTTTAAGAATCATACAAGTTTAAAGTTTCCACGACTAGCACAGACGAAAAAATATGGCTTATAGCTGACTAATAATTATAAAGGAAGATCGTGAAAAACGTATATAAACGACGCTATGATAGTCTGATAAAAATTTAACTATCCACAAAGGATCCTCGATACTGTACTTTTTTAAATTAAGATTTTATCAAAAGTTGTCTACACTAAAACCACCTAATACAATATTGTACTGTGTCCATAAATAAAAAACCGAAAAGTATTGAATATAAACCGTTGCTGTAGCCCGTTGACTATAGTCGCGTACGTCATACCTATTGAAAAGCGTTAAGTTAAAAATGTGCGTCTGAAAAATCATGGAAAACATAAGACCGTCTCCGTCGCCGGCGCCACGATATAATTTAGTAGAGAGGCCGCCGAATTGAAATTTGTTTTTTCTCCCCTTTAAAAGTTTGCATATGAGTTAAATAAAAGTTTACGTTGAAAAAGGCGGAGCTTTCTTGTTAAGAAATGGTAGAACTGACATCGGAGTCGAATCTCCGCGGCGCTCTAATGTAAGAGGGAGTGATCGATGGCTAGAAGTAGCCCATTGTCCTTACAGAAAAAAGAAACCGGGGGAGGAGTGAAAAAAGAGCCATACACATATACATGTATTAAAGTCATTTTACCCTCAGAACATTGTTTTTTTTTCCTATCGCAAACAATAATAATAAATCGAAAAGCAACCAACCGAACAGTTTGTAGATATCCCAAACCCGTTTGACCAAGGCGAGGGAGTCGTTGCGAAATGGGACCACCGTTCGAAAGGCAAACTTTGTTGAAATATATATATATTATGTATGTACATCTCCTTTTTGTATGGTAAATCACTGTAATATACTTAAGCCAAAAACCCCAGATTCAGTCACACGTACAACGGACCGATAAGGTTTGGGAAAAAAATGAATCATAGAAAGTAAAACGCGGCGATACATAAATAATATAATTATTTCAAATGCTTACCAGTGTCTTTTTCGATTAGAACAAACGAAAGCCAGCACAGTGGAGTGGGGCAAAGCATAGCGAGGTCATCAGAGTGATAATATCAATTTTAATTAATAAAACGCTTCGATGCTAATATGTAGATGGTACTAAATATATTTAATATCGATAAAAATCATTGGAAATCCAATAATATTCTAAAATTGTTAGCTTTAGTAGTGGATACATTTACGTTGAATATAATAAAAAGATTTGTCTAATATTTTTCTAATCTGTTGATTTATTTATACTTGAATACGGTCAATGTGTATTTTCTCCTTATTTAGGTTTTTTTCATGAATAAAAAACTGACTACAGTTTTTGAGTAAATTGTGTATGCTATAGCTCCAATCTGGATTTATGTTCAATCTAATTTTTAGCCCAATACTGAAACTACGGTCGAAAAATTAGAATAAAGTAAAAGTTACCACTCTTTTTAAGGAAAAGGGTTTATAATAGGTATTTTTTTGGTTCGTCAAAGTATATCGATATTACTCTATCTTTATATATCTTTAAGGATATTACATAGACATTTATAACTAATACGACGTTAAAAAAAAATTATAGCGTGCCGTAAGTTAAGAGGAACACGATGTGTACATTTTTAGGTTGTTCAAACAATTTTGTTAAAATATAAAAACTAAAATAATCAAAAGTTGTATGAATATTTTTACCGTTTATTTGATTTTTAAGTTAAAACCCATACTATCTGAGGATGAATTTTTACTCCCTACTGTAAAAAAAAACACGTACTCTACTTTGTATCTTCAGTTAAAAATACATTGTAAAGTTTTAACTATTTAAAAATAAGCAAGAAAGAAATGTCTAAAAACAACAGGGATCAATGAAGGTACCCGACTATTCCAACATTCAACTTTGATATTTTAGATTAATATTATGTTCTAAAGCATTTAATTTCTACAGTAGTATTAAACATTTTTTATTAATTTTATAATTTTTTAAAAGTTTGGTTATTTTTGTAGTTAATCACATATTTTTTTCCACTAATAACAACTTAAATATAATTTAAAAAACAAAATAAACGACAGCGTTGTAGATTTCACTAGATTTCTATATTGTGTAAAATAATCAAACGTAAACGGATAACTGGTTTGGCGCCTAATGAAAACATTTGATAAAGTAAGGGTAGCGTTTGTAAACACGGTTGGCACAATCATGGACGCAAAGGCAAGACATGAAAGAGAATGGGAGCTACTACTAAGCGGAAGAGCAGCCTATTATTAGAATAATAAATGCAAGTGTATACTGTATAGAGCTAGGTCAATGTGTCTATGTGTCGGCTAGGTCAGTGGAGCCCGCTCGTCCGCATGGGTAAAGAAGATTTTACAGAAAACGGTATTTATGTGTATGTAAATAAACGATGGCTAACGAGGTGGAAGTCACTTGCTAAACAATCCCACCTCATAGGTTCTGTTTGTAAAAGAAAAAGAAAAACGGTTAACTGGTATTCACGGTCATGGAAGTGCGTAAGGTGTCGTTAACGCAAGCCGCGAAAACCGCAAAAACTTTTTAACTACACGGTTTCACGGTCGACTGGCATCCAGTAATAATATTACTTGGTTATTATAGCGGTGAAAAATATCGTAAATACCTAACAACAAACGGCGGTCGTGTAATCACATGTGCAAAGTTTGACGGTATAGAAAAATATGATGATATTTAAAAATATACCACCATTACCGCCGCTTTAACGGATCGATGGGTTTTAAGTAATCTCTATAGGCGTGTGTGAGCGAACAAAGTTTAAAAAAAGACGAGTACTCGAAATACATATATACATACATATGTGTGTTTTTCCGTCAAATGGTCCGAATTTATCATCACGACATTCGTATCAGTGGGCTGACGTTTCGACAATTTATTGACAAATACTACATTCATATTATATTATATAGTTAACAACTAGAACAATACGTATACGTGATGATGAATATGAAATGATGTAATGAAATATTTACAATGTAGTAATACTTCTAGAATCTAGATAATAAATTTGTAAATATCAAACATTTTTTTTTTTAAACAGTACTTTTTAAGTTGGTCATGGAAAGTTATAATGTATAAAAAGGTATGTGTCTTTCTTGAAAAGGGGTAAATGATCTCTGCTCCAGCTTAGCATTAGAGCTTCCGAGGATATGGTATTTGCATAGGTTCGAAATTAGTGAATTTTTTTTGGTTTGGAAGTTTGGGAGTTAAATCGCAGGTAGCTTAGTTTTGCTTTGTTACTTACCATGGGGATGTTAACATCAGAGATAATAGTTTCGTCGAAGGCATGTTATAGCCCTCTATAGAAAGTTAGTAATTGTTCTTAGGACTTTAGACTGAAACATTTGAAATTGTTTGATATGTGTTATTTTCGCTACAGAATAATAGTTATATTTAGGTTGAGTGTTCGATGAAAAGAAAAAGATAGGAGT